TATCAACAAAATACGTTGTAAACAAAAAATAACAAATAAAAAACTTTCAAAACTTGTTTTAAAATTTTATTTAAAATTTAAACACAAAACAAAAATACTAAAAATTAAACCAATTAGTAAAACACAAATAAAATGGCGTCAAATGATCCAGGGCATGAGGATCCCGATGACCCCGGTGCTGAAGACCATGGTGAATGGGCGTTCAGCGATCTGGACCCTAATTACGGTCAGCCGGGCTACGCGTTCGGTGAGGCCGGGTATCTGACACATCACAGGTCGCTGATGACAGGCCAGGGATACAGCATTGAACGGTATTTGGCCCGCGTGGCCAACCGACTGTACGACAATCAGGTGTGGCTATTGAAACGGGCCGACACCGGCACTCTAGTCGCCTGCAAAATCTCGAGCCTAGCCTATTATCGGAAACGAGTCGGGAGTTCCGGTGCCGACCCGTTTAGTGACACTAAGGCGGCGCTGCTGCGCGAGTCCCAAGTGTTGCCCCGACTCGGCCACGAAAATATCATTAAAGTGACGCAAGTGTTTGGGCTCCGGGACCCGCACTCGGGCTTTCCCTACAGTTTTCACTGCGTTGTAATGGAGCTCATGTCGGGCACTCTGGCCGACCTCCAGAACACTTACCCCAACGGGTGTATGCCTGAGACGACCGCTGGCGAGTGGTTCACTCAGATGGGCCGAGCCGTGCAGTACTTGCATCGGGGTATAGACGGCGCCGGCACTCGGGTCTCGCATTTGGTGATCAAACCGTTGAACATATTGTACAAAACGATTGATGAGAGCCGAGGCCTACGTGTGTTCAAACTGATCGACTTCGAAGAGTCGGTAGTGTTCGCGCCGTCAGCCCCGGACCTGTACCCACCCGACCGGAAGTACAGCCGTAACCCGCACTCAGCGCCCGAGACTCGGGCCAAAGACGGCGGCCCACAGAGCAAACCCACCCGTCCTATGGATGTGTACTCATTGGCCTATACACTGATTTGTTGTCTCATAGGTCGGGCCACCCGTACGCACGACCGGTACTTTCGGTACAGCGCCGGACAGCTGGAGCGTCAGAACTTGGATCCCATTGAAGCGGATTTGTTTGTCAATTTGCACCGGGATCTATTTGGTTTGCTTAGAAATATGTTAGCCCCAGCAGCCAAACGCCGCCCCTCCATCGACAAGGTGTGTAAACACCGATGGTTTCAGTCTTAGATTATGGTCATTATTGTGAGAGTATTTCCCGGAGCTATCATTTAGTTATTTATTGAGTTTTAAATTATTAGTAAAATGCAGTAAAATATTTAAATGGATAGTTTTATTTGACATTATTATTGGTTAAGATTATTGGCTATAATTAATTAAATAGTTGTAATAACTAATTAGATTAATAAGATAAATAAGAAACATTATGATTAATTATAGCACTAAAGGTCTATATCTACAATGGGCAGCAATAAAAAAAATGCATTAAAGTTCATATACAGTCAATGTATAAACAGTCATTTTTTAATTGAAATGTACACTCAGTGTACATTTTGCCCGTTATAGGTCTATATAGTTAAATAATCGTGATAATTTATTTGTTTGCCCTCTTGAACACCGTGATCAATTTTTTTGAAACTACATGAAATACATTATACAGTATTCTTTGTTTTTAATTGCAAATGAAATGTAACTTTAATATTGCAGTAAAAATATTGGTACTTAAACAAAACAATTTGTTTATTATTTCTGTGTAACAAAACACAGGATTGAAATTTTAATCAAATAGCTTTACTATTATTTTGAAAATGTTTGCACTAAAAATTTGCATTTAATGTTTGAATTGATATTACCATGCTGTGAATAGTCACAATAAAAATGTATAATTATTTCATTAATTTAAGTAATAATGCAGTAATAGTGTTTAAATAAATATTTAAAACAATATGCTTTTACCGTAGTGGTTTTAAAAATATTGAAAAATTACAAATGAATAAACACTACATTTAATAACATTTACAAATCAATATATTAAAAATATTAAACTAATTATTTTATTTTAAAAGTTTTTAATTTAAAGTAAAAATAAAAAGTCAAACAAACTTATTTTATTCAGCAAATTTGAATAAAACCAAATATATTAAGCAAAACATTTTTAGGACTAAATAGAGCTTGATAACATTTCCATTTTTAAACTTTCAAATTATAGGCAGTCATTTGAAACTGGTGAATAATTAGCCACAAAAATATGGCCTGAAATGCTGTGCATAAGATACATGATAAAAATATCCAGATTATCCACACGTGCACTTCCACCTGAGACAGTGATCCAATCCAATACCATATGAAACACAGGTCACCGGTGCTCTCGATCACCAGTACTAGTGCTGTCACGTGTCTATTCACGAATACGATGCCAATTAAACCAACAATTAAATACAAAATCACCATGGTTGATATTATTTGTATGATAAACATATCTAAATCAGAGAGAGAGAGAGAGAGAGAGAGAGAGAGAGAGAGATTTAGTATATTTAATTAGTTATCATAATGCCAAAGTAATTAAATTAATTTACCAAATTCGCAGCCTATCCAAAATCTACAATCACCCTTTTCATAATTGTTAGCCCAAATAATCATGTACAAACACACGCCAATAAATATTATGTAAATTGTTGTCAGAATGTACTTAACCAAAGTGAATATACGAGAGTTAGTTACCGCCACAATCATGGTTAGTTTGGAATTAAAAAATGCTCAAATATTTCAACACAATCACAAACTTTATAACAAATCTATTACTTCAAAATTAGATAATTGTTTTATAAAATTCAAAATAACCTTCCTCATGTTTCCTAAATAAATAATTATAGTTATCATTGGTGTTAAATAACAACTTAAATAATGTCGATTGGTTGGCGTATTAGAAATTAGTTTTTAACATTATTAACTATAATTTGTAATTTTAAAATTAAATAATTAAACAAATTGATTTATATTATAAAAACAAATTGAATTAAAATTGTAAATACTTAAAAGTACAGTATTATTGCTCAGACAGTAACTTATGTTTGCCATACATGTTGGGTAAAATAATTTACGACTATTTATCTATAAATTATAAATAATAATTTAAATAAAAAATTGCTTTCAATATTTTTTATGATTTTTTAAAATGTTAAACTTGGTAATGTCTATGCAATTTACTTACATAATCAAATAACAGATATCACTATTGCTACAAACAATTGGCAATCTGCCAACTTTATCATGTTTATAAAAATGTAAACACAATCATTTTTATTTAAGTAATGTTGTCAAATATTTTTTATAATAATTATAATAACCGAATATTAATAACTTTGCTAGGTGATAATCAGTTAAAATTTACAATTCAAAAACTATCTTGATACTCTCAATTATTTTAACAATGGGCTCTGTATTAGACAAAAACCAAACAAATTATGACAAAACTATTACAGAAATCAAATTATTTCACGTGTTTGACGACATCCAGGGCTACAACGCGTTGTATGTGACCCACGAAGACCTGGTCTACGGCTTGGGCTCTAACTATTGGGGAACTTTAGGCTTCGGAAACAACCGGGCGGTGAAAACACCGCAACTTATACCGCAATTAAGCCAACAAAACATACGGCAATTCATCAATGGTTGCGATTTTGTTACGTGTATTAACAGCGACCGAGACTTCATATACAGCTGGGGCTGTAATAGTAGGGAACAGTTGGGTCGGGAGCGACCGGTCAACGAGTTCTGACCCCTGACATTGTACCGGTGCTCACCGGTGGTGATATTCAGCAAATATGTTGCGGTAATTATCACGGGTTAGCCCTTACAGGCGAGGGCCGAGTGTACGGGTGGGGCGACAACATGTTTGGTCAGGTAGGCTGTGGTGAAAGTACTGGTGCACCGCACGTACCCGCCCCGCAACAGATACAGTTCAACCACAATGATATGGAGCACATCATACAGAAAGTATATTGTAGCGCCTACTCATGCTTTGCCATCACAACGGAGGGCCTGGCGTTCAGTTGGAATCAAAACGAGTTTTATAACCTTGGTCATAATTTACCGGCTAATCCATACAAACCTATGGTTATCACCACCACTTCCGGACCCATACAAAGTGTCCGCACCTATCGCTACCAGACCTTAATGCTGGCCAGTGATGGTCGGGTGCATTATTGTGGACAATTTCTTAACGCTAATAAGCAGTACGCAATTGAAAAAGTGCCCAAGGTAATGAACCAGGTAAGAAAGTGCCAGTGCCTGCATTTATTATCATCGTATCAAAACAATGGTTATTGTTTTGTGACAAAACTGAATGGTAAAGTTTTTATTATCACTGAGCCTGATAAGTTTGTCGCAACTGTTCATGGCAGTATTGTCAACTTTTACCTAGAAGTTTTTGCGCCAAATTCGACGGACAGCTATAAACTGATAGTATTCTAGTATATTATACCTACTGTATGGTTATATAATAATGTAGATTTTGTGCAATTAATTATTTTAAAATCAATGAATAATATACTTGGATGTAAATAGTAAATTAGAAAACAGCGTTACATATAATAAGGGGGTGGGAGGTATAGAAAGGGTTGGTAACAGAGTTTGTGACTGGGCTGGTTAATTGAAATTTTTATTAAAATTTTTAAAATTAATAAATATTATATAATACTTATACCAAACAAATTGTTTATGTTTATATTCACAAAAAGTACACCTACCATTTACTATTTACGTACTATTTACTGCTTTGCAAAAACAAATTTGCTAATTATCATTTTATCATTAAAACCTTTTAAAATCAATAAATAATTTTATTAAAGCCAACCATGGAATGAAATCTCTCCTTTACGTGACAGGAGTTATATAAATTTTAATCTATAAAGTAAATATTGAATAAAACTTGTTTAAATGCGCATATTATTTTAAATGCTAAAATATTTATTCTAGAGTAACATAAGTTAAATCTTATTAAATTTAATATTTCAGTCTCAACGCAACCCAACGCCCACAACAAGTCTCTTGGGCTCCAAAAGAATGGATCCCGCGTTGAACACAACGGGCACATCAGTGTTGGGCACCGAATAGAAACGGAATTGTTGTATCATTTTGGCCAACACTAGTTTGGCCTCAAGTAATCCAAAGCGCATAGCAATGCAATTACGGGGTCCGGAGCCGAACGGTAGGTATGTATAGGGTTTGATGTTATGACGATTTTCGGGCAAAAACCGGTCGGGTTTGAAGGCAAACGGATTGGGATAGTGATCGGGGTCGTGATGTATGGAATATATAGGTATTTCCATTGAAACACCCTTTTCTATTTTAATTGATTCATTTCCACCTCTAGTTAACACCACGTCATCCATGGCTTCCCTCTCCAGTCTAAGTACTGGCGGATAATGTCGTAAAGTTTCCGATAAGACGGCGTCGAGGAGTGGGAGTCGGCAAAGGGTGTCGTAGTCTATGTTTCCCTTATAATTAAACGCCTCTTTGGTCTCCGCCACCAACAGGTCCTGAATATCGGGATTGAGTGCCAACTCATAGACACAATACGACAGAGTTGTGGCCGTTGTCTCATAACCGGCGGCAAAGAATAGAAAACATTGGCCAAGAATTTCTTTTTCAGTTAACTTCTTCTCCACGACTCCACTCAACGCCTGTTTCTCTGCCATCTGTTCGTCGACGCCTTCATTCACGTGATGTCCTTCCAGTGCATCGCTGGCCACAGAGTCCGCACCCGTAGTCGTGTTGCTGTCCTCTCTCTCCACGTCTATCAACAACTGTAGGAAATCATTGTATGTTTTGCCCGAATTTTTGCGCTCAAATATCAAGTCCCGAGAAATATCAAGAAAAAACTTAGCGTAGAGATCGGGATCTTTTACCATGACTTTCCATAGTTTATTATTAATGATAAATGTAGGTAAAATGAGTGATAAAAATGATATAAACGGTCTTTCGATAAACATTGCTTTGCATTTAGTCGTAAACGGATTGTTGGGATTTGAATAAGTGTTGGTTTTGGTGGCGAAGGCACAGCTGGCGATCACATCCATACTATAGGCGCCCATAATTTCTTTCAACTCGACTTCCGTCCGACCGGTGGACACGTCTGTGTTGAGTGCGGCCAAGAAGTCACGGCAACACTCGTTGATGAGTGGATACATGTGTTTGAGTTTACCCGAAGTGAATGTTGGACTGATTAGCGCTCGGATGCGTTTCCAGTGGCCATCTCTGGCCCGGTTTAGTGTGTTTTTAAAAACTGCAATTTTGTCCGCGTCTTGCCTTCTATTACGGAATGTGTGAAAGTCTTTCACCAGAATCTGTTTAATGAGCACCGGGTCCGACACCCGTAGGCCGGGTTTTGCAAACTCATAAACCCTATTCAGTTATAAAGATGTAATGTTTTAAAACATATCTAATTTTCCAAAATAAATTTTTTTTAATGATTACCCGTATAATCGGCCGTAAGTCTTATACCACTCCATCTCAACACATTGTTTGCCTTTTAGAATAGGGCTTAAAGTATTGCCAAAATATGGTATGGGTTTCGGACCCGAGATATTACGCTCCGACCAGTAATTTATTAAACGACAATATTTGCTATAATTAAATAAGTACATTAATTAAATTACAGTACATTAATACAGTAGCATTAATAACAATTTTTAACCACAATTCAGCTATGAATAATGTGGTTTATAGAATTGTTTGTTCCTATTCCACTCGCTTTCACCCTATGTGAATACCATGTTAATAATATGGCTATACTTTGACATGGGGAAACTCTCATAAGTTTAGCACGAGTTTCTATGTGATTACAGCTTAATTCAATAACATAGGAATAACAAGGGTACTCACAAATCTATGACAATGCTAATACTATCGATCATGTTAATCCTATGTGTAATGATATGTTTATGGGACTAATTCTAATTGTTTGAATCTCCCGAATTGTGGTTAACGTATAGCATCGCTGTGTATCCTTGTTTATAACTATTCCAACTATAAATCTTTTGTAAAATCTATTCATTTATAATTAATTATAAATTGATTTTAAGTAAATTTAATGAAAAGAGATTACAATACAGAAATTTTCGGTAAAATGTTTAAATTTATACCGTATTACCAAAATATTTTCTGGCAACGCTATACGTTAACAACAATTCGGGTGATGTTTAATAAATAAATTTACAATATCGATAGATTTAATATGAGTTCTATTTACTTTCCATTATAAGTCTATAGACAATAATAAGTCTATGTGTAATGCTAAGTCTATGGACAATGATAAGTCCATGTGTAATGCTAAGTCTATGGACAATGATAAGTCTATGGCATAGGGATAACATGTGTAATGGTATATCAATGGGATAATGGGATTATAAATGAATCTTCCATAATAAATAGAACTAATTGTTGTCAAAAACATTTAAAATTTTCAAAATAATAATAGTGAAAGTATTCTAACAATAGTATTNGCCATAATAAATAGAACTAATTGTTGTCAAAAACATTTAAAATTTTCAAAATAATAATAGTGAAAGTATTCTAACAATAGTATTAAAAAATTTAAAATCTTTGATGCATTTCCCGAATTGTGATCAACGTATAGCTTCGCTGTGTGTGAGTTGTTTATAAATAATATATGAAATACTCACAAATAATTATATGTGATCAATATAACTACAATAATCGTTAACAAATACCATACGTACAGTGAACTTAATACTGATGCGAATAAGTAAAACATCATTATAATTGTCTAAAATTTAATGAAAAAGTGAACTGTTATTAATGCATTTTCAACTATTATTGCAAGCTTGTTATTGATGTTGACTTAAATACTATAATTTGAAAATAAATTAAAATTTTACCTAGTCACTTTATTTTATTTAACCCTAGAAGCATAAACTGGGAGATTAGTTTCCCATTTCCACTTTAAATTTCAATTAAAAATCAAGAAAAGGTGCTAGCCAGAAAGAAATTCAGTAATGCCTCACAAATTGCTAGGTTTAAAAATTTGTAAAATTATATAATTATAAATTATATGATTAATTAATTATTATGGTTTGATTAAAGTTTTGGTAATTATATTCCCAGTTTATGCGCAATGCAACTTTTTTCACGCAGTATAACTAGTGTTAATCTTATTGTGCGTCTATTGTGTAAACTGGGAGATTTATCTCTCAGCATTAAACTGCATAAACTGGAATAATAATCTCCCAGCATAAAACACATTAAAGCGTGGGAGACTAGTATCCCAGTTTATGCATTAAATGCTGGGTGATTTCAATCCCAGTTTATTTACAACGTTTATAATTATAGTTTAAGCTTTATGGGTTAAACACATTGCAATATTTTATCTTGCAATTAATAACGACATGTCATTGGAATTTGCCAAAATTTATGCTAACATACTCATAACAGTAGAATAAAATATTATTATTATTAATATTTTACTAAATTCTTGATTAAACTAAATTTATAACACTGCTATATATTTAAGCTTATGCGTAATAAATATTTTATTTTTTTTAAATAAAAATGTTTTAAGAAATTATTTTTATAATCATAATTAATTATTTATTAATATTTTGACAAGTGATAAAAGTACTAAATTTACAAAAAAAAGTACAAATCTACTTGTACTATAAAATGAATTAGCGTAAATACAAACACATTATATTTGCCAATTCCATAAATTTGCTAAATTAATTAATTTATTGTCAATTCATTTATAATGTGTCTTAACTATTAAATAAATTAATTTAATAATGTTGAATCACATTATTTTGTGAGGGTTTTGTGTTTGGTTAAGCTTTACGTGTGAGGGTTGAGAATGTTGACAGTGGAAATGGTCGTTAACATTGGGTGAGTGGCGCTACTTTTAGCATATGTAAATGAATAGTTGGATCAAAAGATTGGGCGTATTGTTGGTCAACGTTCGGGTGGTGTGAGTGATGTGAAAAGCCGGTAGACTTCGCGGTCAATGCTGTGTTAAGCAGACTCGCGTTTGAAAATAATAAGTGAGAGTGTAGTGAGTCAAAGTGACAGCGTTTTTGGATTTGATTGAATAGAACTGAACTGAGTTTTATTGAGTAAAATTGCATGTTATCTTACAAGAGAGTTTATTTTGGTGTGTGAGTTTGCATGGTTTTTGGGTGACAATTTGTGGATGAATGGTTTGTGTGTGGCGTATGATTTTGGTGCCAAAATGTGTGTTATGTTTTATATAATTAAGTTATGTATATAATTTTAATAACTATAATTAAGTATGGTTAAAGTATAAAAACATAGTTAAGTGATTTGGTTGAATTAAGTGATGACATGTCTTAAAATGTCTTTTTTTTTTTGGTATTATGTGGTGAAAGTGGTCGTGCCCTTGGTATTTGGGTCACTCTTCCCAATTAGCACATAGGTGTGAAAAATGTGGGGTGCATTGTGTTTCTTGTAATTGAGTGTCTGTATGTGGTATTGGTGTGCTTTGTGTGAAAAAGTGGTGAGTTATTGTTAAGGCTATAAATGATATTTTTAATGTATATTGCAATGTAAAGTTATTTATGTGTTACAATTCTCTGTGAAGGCATTGCAATTATACTTTGTGGACACTTTAATTACAAAGTGTCACTTTTTTCTAGCCTTAGTTATTGTCTTTATCTTTATCTCTGTGTGGATCTGCATGTGGTGATGTTTTAGGGTCGGTGATGTCAATATCCCTCACAATTTAATAATAAGTTATAATATTAATAGCAGAAAATTCTAGAAACGACTAAAATAACATTTGTAAATTTAAAAACATTTAACAACAGTAGTTAATATTATTTTAAATTATATTTAACACTACGTTTTGTAATTGTATTATTATTTTACAGAAGTGATGGCATTAACACCAAATCCCCCACTATTTGTTATAGCATTTAACTCACAATACCTATGCTATTTGGTGGCCGCTATTTTGACTATTTGGATAACGCATTATTATGTGTGAGTAAACTATCTTATAAGTAAATATTATTAAACATAATAAATTTTGTTTGAAAAGTTATACTATTACGCCTTCGGGAAAGTAATAGCATTTTTGTAATGAAAATTTTAAATTATATTTTTAATATGAAGCAATA